ACAAACTTCATTGGGTAAATCTATTGATGACTTAAATTTACATCCTAATGGTTATATTTTATCTCAACCTCAAGCTTATACTCCTTTAGTTATTCCTAAAGAAATTTGGAGACTTTGTGATTATGTACTTCCTTTTATGCATGACCCTACTTTTATTTCTTTATCACATCCTTCAATTGATTATGTTCCTATTTATTATGAAATATTACATTCTCTTGATACTCATTCTTCTTTTAATCCTTCTTTAAATTATCATCGTGTTTTAGAATTCTTATTAATCTTTTTAGTAAATCTTAATGACTCTATTATTCCTTCTTCTTTATATGAACATGTTATTTTATCCGCTGATAAACCTGATGTTGAAATAGATAAATTCTTTATTAGAAATAATGCTTCTATTCCAAATTCTCATTATAACCTTTTTATTTATTTACTATCTTTTATTAAAGAAATTCTTCGTCAAAATTCTTCTCTTCATCCAGAAGATCTTATCAAATACTTTTCTTCTTCTTTTGTTCGTCCTAAAGATGGTTTTCGTCGTCAATGTGATTCTAAAACTATTGAACAATTTCTCTTAAAATTTATTAAAAAATGACTTTTATTTTACTTCTTCTTTCTTTTTTTTTTCTTTTCATTAAATTTTCTTTGTTGTATCTTGTGTTTGTTGTTTTCTTCTTCTTTTTTTTATCTTTTAATATTTATCTACTTCTTTCTATTCATTTCTTTCTGTATGTTTTTATCTTTGACTTTAAAAATATCCTTTTTAATTAATGACTTTGTTTAATGAGTTTCTCTAAACCTTCTTTTCCATAACAAACATACAGTGCCATTTCTTCATCATTGTAATGGCAAGAAACAGATTCTAACTGTTTAATAACACACATATCATGAACTTTTCTAAGCGGAGACCTGAAAGAAGCAAAATGGATATTTCTGAATTTAAGTACAATTGCCAAATCTCCATAGTTCCTATAAAGAATTTCACCAACTACCCTTCCAACAAACTCACCAAGAATACGAATGATATCATCTCCACCACTGTCTCCTTGTTTTGTATATCCTTTTAATGATGGAAGGAGTATTTTTTGTGTGACCATTTTCAAATTAAGACAATCCTTAATGATTTGTTCTTTAGGATAGAAACAGCTATCAAAGGAAGAGTCTGTACCTTTGCAAACATTATCAAATTGGTCAAATGTTAAATTAGTATTGATCCGAATAATTGTTTTGCCTATTCTTACTTTTTGAATACATTGTCTTGTTAAATCAATATTAAAAAGAACAGAAAATGCAGAACATATTTTACCTTTATTTAAAGATAATGACTCACTCTTTTTTTTATCAAATAAATTTCCAGAATTACCTTCTCGTTTGCCATTAATTATGTCTGATATTTGTTGAGCGGTTATTTCATCAGTAAAATCTATACAATGAATACCAATTTCTATTTCATTTTGTGCAACAAAACAAATATGAAGAGCATCATCTCTCATTTTTGTTTCTTTATTATCTATAGTAAATACTCTTCTATTTCTAAGATCAAAATGAATTCCATCATTTTCTGGTTCAACACAATATATTATATTTGAGTCTGGAGTACATAATTGTGTGTTTTGTTGAGTTATATCATCACACATAATTATAATTGTTTCTGAATCATCCATTTCATTTGCTTTACTTTTTTCTTTTGTTTGTTTGTATTGAATAATAGATTCCACCTCAAAAATTTGTTCTCTTCGTTTGAACCTACCTTTAACTCGATGAAAATTAGTATCTGAATTGTTTATTTTACATACAGGTATTCGTTTATCATCACAAAAAAACATTCTATGTTCTATATATCCTGTACATTCTATATCTTGAGTATTATGAATTGAATCAACTTTTCCTACAGCAACTATTGTCCTGCCATTAACTTGTTGAATTAATTGAATTAATTGAATAATGTTTGTTATTTGAATTTGAGGAAGAAACATTTTAAAATTGTCATTTGGTTTTGTACTTTGAATGATATTTCCAGTGATAAGGTCAATCACCTCCCAGTAATTTGGACTTAAAATACTAATACTAACTTCATCACCATCTAATGCTCCATTACAATATAATTTAGGAATAATGATATTAACAATTTGATTTTGAATCATAATAGAACAATATGTTTTAGAATAGTTATATCGAAATATTCCATGAATTGATTGGTTCATTAATTGTAATTTATTAGTTTCTTTTAAAAAAGAATTTGTTATGTTTAAAAAAATAATAAAAACAAGTTGTTTTTTTTTGAAAGTAATTCAATTCAATTTAGAGTTCATTCTTTTGATTAACAATATCATCAACTCCAACAGTCTTTTCTTCCTTTTCTTCTTTCTTTTCTACTTCTTCAATTTCAGAAAGTTCCTTTTCAATCATTCTTTGAACCCATTGAGCATATTCGTTAGAGTCAGTGACAGTATATCCAGATTGAATCAATGCTGTATTATACATTCCTTTAACAAATTCGATTGCTTGTTCTTTCTTATCTTCTTTAATTAACATATTAATTTTTATAATAATGTCGTGTTCTCCATTAATGATTAAGACTCTTTTAATATTCTCTAAATTAAAGTCTTTCTTATTAGCAGTTGCATGTGCCTTAATAAGTTTTTCCATATTAGCAGTTAATCCATCTTTACCTGAAATAACTACACCAGCAACATTTCCAAGTTTATTTGAGACTTCAACCTTACTTATTTCTTTTATATTTTCTTGAATAAATTCTTTTAACTCATCATATTCTTTATCATCATTCTCTACTCCAAAACCGTCTTTACCAAGATCAACAAGTGTCTTTCCTTCAAAAGTATTAATACTTCTACTTGCTGCTTCATCAACTGGGTCTGTCATATAAATAACTTCATATCCTGCATTAACTGCTGATTGTGCAACAGGAGAATTCTTAGCTTCTTCTAATGAATCAGCACAAACATAATAAATTTCTGTTTGATTCTCTTTTAATCTTCCAATGTAATCTTGGAATGACATAGTTTCATTTCCAGAAATTGAAGAATGATACCTTAACAATTTAGCAATTCTTCCTCTATTTGGTACATCAGTAATAGCACCAATCTTCATTTGAACTGAATATTCTTTCATAAATGCCTCAAAGACAGTTGAATTATTTTCACTAAGGTCTTGAATAAGTTGAAGAACTTTTCTAACTACCTTTCTCTTAATTCTGTCAATATGTCTATTTTCTTGAATTAATTCTCTTCCAACATTTAATGGAAGATCATCTGAATCAATAACACCTCTAATGAAAGTCAAATAATCTGGTAATGTAGTGTAAAAATCTCCTGAAACAAAAACTCTTCTAACATATAATCTAAGCATTTGTTTTAATTTTTCTGGATCTTTAGGAGCAAATGGATTAGGTCCTTCAGCTGGGATATATAATAATGCTCTAAAGACTGAATCACCTTCTGTATTAAAATGTATTTTTGCTAATGGGTCTTTAGTATCTTTAGTTAATGCTTTATAAAATTGATTATACTCTTCATCAGTAACATCACTTCTCATCCAAATAGGTTTATTAACATTAATAGCTTCCCATGAAGTAATATTTTTTGTTATAAATTTATGTTTAACTTCAACATTCTTTAATTCTTCTTCAATAAGTTCTTCTTCTGTTTTACTTGTTTCTCCTTCTTCAATTCTTTTCTTTGCTTTTTCTTGGGCTTCTTGTTTCATAGCTTCAGTATCTTCAACTTCTTCTTCTTCTTTTTTAGTAATTTCCATTTCAATTGGGAATTGAATAAACTCACTGTATTTCTTAACAAGATCTTTTAACACATTAATATCCAAGAAATATTTGTCTTTTAATTCTAAAATAATTTTAGTTCCTTGTTCTTCCATTGGAACTTCATCTTCTTTTAATTCTCTAACAACAAAACCTTCACCATTACTTTCCCAAGCATAACTTTCTTCTAATCCAGCTTTACGTGAAATAACTGTAACATTTTCTGCTACAAGGAATGAAGAATAAAATCCAACACCAAATTGTCCAATCAAATTTTTATGATCTTCTGTTGATTCTAATTTCTTTATAAATTCTGCTGTACCAGATTTTGCAATAGTACCAAGATTCTTACCTAATTCTTCTTTTGTCATTCCAATTCCATTGTCGATAATATAAATAGATCCTTTAGCAGCATCAATACCAATTCTAATTTTAAAAGAACTTGGATCAATGTTTAGACTCTTATCGGTAATACAAAGAAATCTTAATTTATCAATAGCATCAGATGCATTTGAAATTAATTCTCTAAGGAAAATTTCCTTATTAGTATATAATGAATGAATAATAAGATGCATCAATCGTGAAACTTCTACATCAAAATTTTTTTTCTCTTGTGCAGACACTCCTAATAACAACAATAAGAGAGTGACAAAAACTAACATTTCCTCTTAATATATTTTTTAAGTTCTTCAACTTTAAATAAGTTTCTCTTATATTATCCACATACCAATGACGTGTCATGTTTAACTATTTCAATGGTTTTATTTACTATTTTTTATAATTTTACAAAAAAAAATAATGAAAGAAGATATGCTCTGATATTTTCATTAATCAACAAAAGAATCATATTATGTTATATATATCAAAAATAATATAAATTTTTTTGATATAGAATAAAAGATTAAAAATAGCATAAATTAACAAAAAAGTAATAAATTTTTGTTGTTTTTAGGAGTTGTTTTTATGAAACAAAACAACCTCCAAAACATATTTATAGACATTCTTTTTATTTTTTGTTGGAATTTGAAAAACAACAAAATACCAAAGTGTGTGAGAAACATTTATTTTTTTTTAACTACAACAACAAAGAGTTGGTTAAAAAAGAGTTACAAAGAATGATACCTGTCATAAACCAAATAAATTAGTAATAAAAATGTGTGTATAAACATTAAGAAGAAAAAACTACGATAGACTGATTTCCTTGTAATAGAGAATGTATCATTGGGTCATTTCTTTCAATGATAGTATTCCCATCACCTTCAGCACATTTTTCATATAAATATTGATTAATCTTCATTCCAATTTGAGTTATTTGTTGTCTAGAATAAGCCTTACGTCCTTTAAAATACATAACATTAACAGTCTCTGCTATTGCAGATTTATTTTTTCCAGTTGTTTTACTTGTTCTAAATGTAAATCCAAACTCATTTAGAATATCACTTAAAAGATGAAGAACTTCTGTAACTTTATTTGTTTCATATCTTCTAATAGCAGTCTTTTCTCTTAATCCATTAGAAAGATCTAATTTCATCATTTCTTTACATCTTCGTTCAATTAAGTCACTAATTGCAATTTGATCATCTCCTGAGAATTTTAATGAATTTACTGTTACAAGTTGTTGAGTAACAATAGCTTTTTTAATTGGTTTTTGAATAATCATAGAACTAGATTGGTTTAAAATTCCAAGAAAAAGAGCTTGTTGGTATACTTGGTAATTTCTCATTTCACGATATACAGTTGACATAGACTGATTATTAAAAAGATTGTTGTTCTAATTTAAATATGACTGTGTTTTTTATATTGTTAGGAGTATTCTATCTACTTTCTTTCAAACCATTTGTTTTATTTTTATCAATTTCTTTATAATTTTATAATTCAATCAAAAGATGGTTTTAATCTAAAAGACATAAACTCATCTTTTGAAACAGACTGAATTGAAAAAGAGTTATGAAAATTACCTCAAAAACTGAAGCAAAAATTCCATTTATAGAACTGTTGGTATATTTTTATTATTTCTTTAAAAATAAAAAGATAAACAAATAGGAAGTTTTGTTATACAAAAGTAATAAAAAACCAAAAAAATAGAATGATTATGGTAACATAAAATTTTATGAGATTGACCTTTAAGTGTAAGTAATATTTCTCATTTTATTATTTGAAAACTCATGCCTCATTTGTTACAACTATAATTGTAAAATTTCAAAAGATTTTACTTAACAAAAAAAAATTAATACTTCTTTATTAAATTTAATAGGAAATAAATAACAATTATTTAAGTTAGTGAGATTTCATAATAGTGTTTTTCATTAATTTAAATGTATCATCAGAAAGATTATTAAGATCAAATTTAACAGTTTCGTCAGCATTTGCGTCAATAATGTTTTTAAGTTCTAAAAGTTGACTTCCATTCATATTCATCATTTTTTGAACAACGTTTCGAAGTTCGTCATTACTTCTTTCTGGAATTGATTCATCAACAGTATCCAATAATGCTGAATTTATAGGTGGTGGTTGAAAAGATGAACTGTCATCAACCTTTTTACTCTTTTTTATTTTATTCTTTTTAAAAAAGAATGGGTCTTTAAAATCTTTTCGTTCAATTTTATCTATTGGTTCAGGTGAGATAAGTTCAATTGAATCTTTAAGTTCTTCTGTTAATTTTGCAATCTCTTTTTCTATCTCATCTTTTCTATTAATCAAAAATGTTTTTTCACTTTTAAGGTCATCAAGAGTTTTGTATTTATCTTCCATAATAATACGTTTTGCAAATTTCCCAATGAGATTTTCAATCTTCTTCTTTTTTAATGTCGTTTCTCCATCAAGAAGACCTCTTCCTTCTCTTCTTCTTTCTTTACTATTATCATCAGGCATAATATATTGAATTTCAAATTCTTTCACTGAATCAAGACACATTTGTGCAACTGCTGCTGTTGGAGTTCCTTCTCCATACGCTTCAATAAGATTAGTAAATAATTCTTTATATTCACTTACAACAGATCCATCATTTCGTTCAGTGATTTCATCAATTTGTCTTTTAACATCCATATTGTCATCAAAAAATGATAAATAACAATTTTTTTGTAAATATTTAAACAGTTCATTTGCAAGAAAATCACATGTTTTAATTGTATCCAAATCACTTAACATCCTCACTTGTTTTTCTCTTTTTAATGACATTTTTGTGTAAAATGATAAAAATGTTATATTTTTTTCAGTTATTCTTTTATTTTTTATTTTTGTCAAAATAAACACAAATATTTTATTCAAAACCATTATTTATCTTTTTCTAATAATTCTTTTAGTTGTAACAAACCATGTTTAAAATTAAATAGTTTGTTTTTATTCTAATTGAATTTTGTATGTTTTTAATATGATTGAGTCAAGAACATTTTCTTGTTAATAAAAAAACATTCTTTTTAAATTTGAAATAACTCATTAAATTATGAGTTTCTTATCAATTAATTATTATTAATTCAATTCTTTGTTTTATTGAAAGTGTTAATTAAATATAATAATTCATATAAAAACAAATAAAAAGTAATATAAAACATAATAATTTAAAAATATTCTTAAAACATTCACTTTTCATTATCACAATACTTATTTTTAATAAAGTGAGATATTTATTTCTTAAATCTATTTAGTTTTTGTTCATAAATTTCAGTAACTCTAAATATGTTATGATAATTGAAATAAATGGTTCATAACAAAAATAATACTCAATTACAACGAAGTATTATATTTAACAAAAAGAATAAAAACATTATTCAAGAAATTTTAAAATTCTAAAAATCAAAATATATGAAAAAAACTAAAATGAACAAAACTTAGCAATGGAAATAGTTCCCATAAATGATAACAATCATGTCACTCCAGGAGATGAGATTTTTTATGAAGAAGGATGTATTCCAGGAAATGGAATTCTAGTTGAAGGAAGTGAATTTATATCTTGTGTACATGGTACAGTAGAACGAATTAATAAACTTGTTTGTGTAAACCCAATAAGGGCTCGATATTCTGGGAATGTGGGGGATGTTGTTGTAGGAAGGATAGTATCAGTTGGAGTTGGATTTTGGAAAGTCGACATTAATGGAAAGAATACTGGATTATTACAAATTTCATCAATTAATCTTCCAGATGGGATTCAACGAAGAAGAACAGAGATTGATAATTTGAATATTAAAACGTTTTTTGATGTTAATGAATTAATTTGTGCTGAAGTTCAAAGTATGAATGGACAAAGTTGTATTCAATTACATACAAGAAATGAACGATATGGTAAATTAAATGAAGGGATATTAATACAAGTTCATCCATCATTAATAAAGAGATGTAAATCACATATTACATTATTTAAAAATGGGATTAAATTTATTTGTGGAATGAATGGATATATTTTTATTAGCCTAAATAATGAGAGTGATTATTCAAATGTTGGATTTGAAAGAGTTGCTCGTGTTGCAAATTGTGTAACTATATTACAAAATAAAACAATGCATATTAATGGTCCTATTGTTGAACATTTATCTGAAGAAACTGTAGGTTTAGGAATTCCTGTAAGTTTAATGTTACTCAAGAAAAATCAAGAATTAATTATTGCAAAATACGTTGAAGAAATGTCTTAAGAATAGTATTTTACTTGAAGTAAATTGAATGAATTTTTTATTTTATTTTCATATTAACTCTTTGATAAATAAGAAAAATAATATTAATTGTTAGAGATTATCTCAATAATCCATTGAACAAAAAATGACTTATCAAAACCTATCACATTCATTCTTTCCCCTTGCAGAAAACATCAACACTATTGTCCAAAAGATAATAAAGGATTGTGTTAATTCTGGTTTTACTATAATAAACCAAGAAGATGAAAATAAACTTGTTCAAATGGCAAATGATATGAGCAATAAAACAGAAGACTTGATGAATGAATATGATTCTTATGAAATGATTAAATCAAAACTAAAAGAAAAGACAGATTCTATTAGTGAAACGATTGTTTCATTAAGTTTACTAAAAAATCCTACGAGTATAATCGATGCTTTATTATATCTTAATGCAGATTGTACTTCAATAGTCATTATTGCAACAGTCTCTCCATTTTTAAGGGTTTTACACCAAAAAGAAAAAGCAACTTCTCTTATAAAAGGATTTAATCAAGGGAAACATTCTGTTGATGAAATTCATGAAATTTGCCTCACAATCACTGAAGTTGTTCATTTGCTTGGATGTTTAGGTGACTTAACCATTAAACAACAAAAAGACATTCAACAAACTCAAGAATGTACAAACAAAATTTACCAAAATTCACTACGAGAAATACAAAGAAAAATAACACAGAATGAAGATATTACTGAAGTGTTGAAACCAATTGACAAACAATTGTTTGTGATGATGGATGTTGTTTTAGGTATTCAAAAAGAAGTTGAAGATGAAATTCAAAAGTATGTTGAAATGAGGGTAAAATTTAATCAAGAATATGAGAAAAGAAAGGTACAAATGGGAATATCATCTGAACCAAAGAAAAGTAAAAACTCAAAACCAAAAGAAAAGGTATCTGAATCATTAGAAGAGAAAAATAGAGAGAAAGAACAACAAGAATATAACCAAACACTTCAATTATGTGAAAAAATTGCTAAAACTGCTACAAATGAAACTGGAGAAGAAGAACAAAAACAAGAAGAAGAAATAAGAAAAATAAAGATAATTATTGTTGGATCATTGGCTTTAATTATTCTTGGAATTGCAATGCTTTTCGTTCAAAAGAACAAGGTATGATTATTCATTGATTTAATGAAAGAAAAAATATAGTTCAGAATTTTCAGACAAGAAAGAAAAAAAATCAAGAACTTAAAAAAAAGAATCAAAAACTAAAGAATAATGGCAGCTGCACTTGCATTTATTAGTGGAGGAGATATTGAGGAAGGAGCAGTTTTTGCTAATGAGAGTCCATTTGAACGATGTGGATTACAATTATCAACAAAACAACGATTACTTGGATTTGCTATTTCATCAGGAATAGGAAGTGGTATTTTAATTATATTTGCAGCGTTATATTCAGTATTAGGAGATAATGGAGGGGTTTATGCATTTATGATATTCCATTTTATTGGGTTTTTGTGTCTTTTAATATCGTTTGTTTCTGATATTTTTAAATTAAAAGAAAGATTGAGATATAAACATTATTCACAAACAGACCATTCTTCTTATATGGGCCAATGGGTATGCTCAAAAAAATCACCCATCCATTTAGAGTTGTTTCATTATTAACTGTTGTTATTTGTTTATTGATTGTAGAAATTATTTCACCTATTCTTCGAGGAGATGCAACATGGTTTGTCCTTATGGGAACTGTCGGAGAAATTTTCTGTTTCCTCTTCTTTGGATTTTCTTTACTCCCATGTTTTGATAAAATTCTTGGAAGTTGCTGTGGTGGATTCTTTAGTAATCAATAATTTAATACTTTTACTATTCATTTAATAACGATATTCAAATGTCAAATAGATTAAATCGAATTATAAGCTATTCAATTAGACTCTTCAACAATGTTTATAACTAGAAAGAATAGAATTATTCTGGTTTATTCTTTGTTTTTTGTTGAAGCTTTAATAATAGTCGTTGTCTCACAAATGATTGCATAGAAAGAATCATATTACCAAATGTGTCTGTAGGATATAACCATGCACCAATATCCATCAAATAATGGAACCAATATGGATCAATATGATTTTGTTGTCCAAAGAATAAGAAACAATATTCAACAAATTCTTCTGGTTCTAAAACATAAATAGAGCTTTCTCTTATTTTTGTCATTTCAGTTTTAATATACCATGGACAATAACTAATACAATCAATTTTTCCTTTATATTCAGCATATAATGAATCATTAAATTGTTTAATAAATGCTTTTGATGCAGCATAAACTTGAAACATTGGAAATGGAACAGAAGATGTTGCTGAAGACATATTAATTATTAATCCATGTTCTTTTCTTTCAAGCATCATTGGGATTATTATATGAGTTAACATTGTTAATACTCTAATATTAAGTGAAACCATATTATTAATATCTTTTATATCAACATCTCCAAATTTACCTGGTAAATATTGACACATTCCAACATTATTTACTAATACACCAATATCAATTCCTTTAAGTTCATTTTCAATTTTGTTCCATTGATTGTTTTCATCAATGGAAATAAGATCATTAGCAATAACTTTGACATTAATTTGATATTTTTCTTCAAATTCTTGTTTCATTTGTTTTAATATTTCTTCTCTTCTTGCTATAACAATTAAATTAAATCCTTCTTTAGCAAATTTCTCAGCAAATGCCTTTCCAATTCCTCCAGCAGCTCCAGTAATAATAGCATATGTGTTTTTTCCTCTATATTTTTGAGGTGAACTTTTGAATAGTTTTGGTTTCACAAATAATTTCCATAATAAAATAAGTCCAGGAATAATGGTAACTACACAAAATATTCCTCCAACAATCCCTAGAATAAGTGCACCAGTATTACTTCCCATTTCTTGTTTGATTTTTAAATTCTCACCAACCCTTTTACTTAAATTTTTCTAATTGTCGTTTTTTTGTCATTCGACTTCTTAGTTTTTTAATATAACAAATGAATATGATTGTTTGATATAGAATCATTTGAAGTTAGATTATACAATAAGATTATCTTCAACAAATAAAGAACTTTCTGTGTTGAATTATCAATTCTATTTTTACATTAATCGTAGGGTTTTAAGTAATGTGTTAGACTTTCATTTTTTAAAAGAGAAATAATTAACACTACTTTTGTGTGATTTTCTGAGTTAGTGGTTGTTGATTGACTCGGAAATGTCATGTTGAGATTATGGGGAAATAGAAAAACAGAAAATAACACAAAAGAAAAAGAATAACAACAATGAAAATTTTTGAAAAAACAAAAATCTAACTACAAAGTTGAAGTTACTCAACCACAATGACTGCATTGCTCTTTCGATGTTTACAAGAGGCAGAAACATGTGTTGATAAGAAAAATAGATTTCAAACAGCAATAATCAAAACAATGAATTGTTTATTAACAACACTTGAAAAGATGAAAAAAGATACAATAAATGAGACATTGTCATTATTAGGATTAAATAATAAATATGCATTAACTTTATATGTTAGAGATAATCATTTAAGTGATGATGCCAGAGATAAATTAATCCGATATATTGGGTTTGATATTATAGATCTTTCACCGATTATAGAACAGTCTATAGAAGCACCTCTTGAAAGTACTGCAACAAGTCTTAATTGTCTTGAGTTTGATGCATTTAAATTAGTTGTTGATGTAATGAAAGAGAAACAACTTGATGTATTAGATGAATTAATACAAAATGGATTAATTTGTGATAGTGGACGAGTAGACTATATAATCAATGTATGTAAAACAGATGCATTATTAAAACGTGCTATTCGTGAAATTGAAAACATTAAAGATAAATTAAAACGAAGTGAAATAGATGAGACTCAAAAAAGAATTAAATCTATAGAAATTAAAATTAATCATATGACAAAAATGATTAGAGAAACAACAGATTCTAATTCTAATTCAATAAGAGAATCATTAGATATTCAAGATAGAAGTATTATTGCTTCAGAACCTTTAGTAGAAATTGAGATTAATACTCCTATGACAGAATTGTTAAGAATTAATGATTATGAATTAAAACAATTAGAATCATTTGTTGGAAAACATGCAACAGAGATTGTTTATGATACTCTTGGAGCAGTTGATAGTAGGATTTTATTTCAAAGTATAGTTCAATCAAAAGATTTATGTCTTATTTTTTATTGCAACAATTGTGTGTTTGGTTCTTTTCATTCAGTTATTCCATCAAGTCGTGGAGTTTGGTCTAATTCTGATCCAACTACTTTTATTTTTTCTTTAAGAAATCCAATGAAACGTTCTCCAATTAAGTTTCCTTTTACTGGAAAGAAAGGAACTCTTAGGATAGAAGATTCGTTAAGTGATCAAGCTCTTCATGTATCTTATTTTATCCACTTGGCATCTACTGGGGCATTTGTTATTGATAAAGATTTTGCTAGTGTTTTCTTTTCTTTGGAAAATCCTCAATTTTTTTGTGGAACTCAACGTGGAGTACTTACAAGGATGGTAGTAGTGACAATGAGATGATATAATTGAAGGATTGTTTTTATTGATGTTGCAAATTGAAGAGTCTCAACAAAGAGGAATCTAATTTAGTTTAAGATGAAAACATCAATACATTTATTAGGGTGAATGAGTTTGAAACTATTCCATATATATTAAAACACAGAAAAGGAATATCATATTAACACGACTTACGAAGAAACAACATGGTCTATTTTAAGGAAGTGTGAATGACTTAAAGAAGAACAACAAGAACTCAAAAATCACTTGAATGAAATCAATTGAAAATATCATCATAAACGAAAATATGATTGTGTCGTACCTCAAAAAGGAATTAGAGTTGTTGCAAAAAGGGGTGAAGTATGGAGAAGTATTAAAAATATATTCAACATTCAACAAGACTCTTAAACCAATCTATGAACCAGAAATTGATGTTATTAATACAACAACAGACTGTGATGAAACAGAGGAAGAGAACTTTATTGAAAAAGAGGTGTCTCATAAAAGAGATGAGTCAAAAATAGTTAATGAAGAAAGAAGGAATAAACGAAGAGTGAATAAACAGAGAGAATTTACAAAACCATATCATTCAATGATACATAGTGACCCTACATTGGATGCTCTTGATGATATTCCATTGAAGAATTATCAAAAAACAATTAAACGTTATTTAAAAGAGTAAAACTAATAAATTGTTAACAGTTTTTATAAATTTTATGTTCTTTTTAATGAGACAAAAATAATATACTTCAAATGAGATGAAGAAAATGATATTATGAAGAAATGACTGTTTTATAATACACATATCTTGTTGTATTAATTGCAAATATAAGAGATAAATTGATTTATTTTCATTTATATATCATATAGAATATGGATTAGAACAGAATGATTGAATTTATGATGGTTGAACATAAATCCAACAATTTAAAAGTATATAAAAACAGTTTCATATGAAGTAATAAAATAGATGAAATAATGTTAATAATACATTAAATTAACAAAATATAAAATAATAAGAATTAATTTAATACAATAACACAGAATATGCAAATCATAAAAAACAGTAAAATTCATAGATAGTGATGAAAAAAATTTCAAATAAAGATTGTTGATTGTGTTTTATATTTTATGCGAAGAATGTTTTAATACAAATACCAAATATAATATACCATTGAAAATATTCTTAATTTGAATAGAACAATATAAGACAATGTAATACCAAAGTCTTTAGATTATTATTGCATAATGTGAACAATGGAATAATAATGATGGAATCTATAAAGAATTGTTCTGTAATAAGAACAATAAATTGTAGAGAAGTTAGATTGAATATCATTTGTTAAATCAACCACTGTCGCACCACTTAAAAAGAGGAATTTATTAAATTTGAATATTGATAGTCAAAAGTAAGAAATTTATTTAATAAACTACTTTCCACTCTTCTTCATCTTGAAAACGAATAAAATCAACTAAAAATAAAGTTATTGTCAATGGCAAACAAACTAATAACCAAAATTTGAATCGAGACATAATTTAATAATAAAACTCACATAAAAGAATGTCTATTAAATGTCATAAGTAAATAACATTAAAACATCTCTCCAATGAAGTAATTGAAAGATAGATGGTATTGAATCATTAACATAAACACTTTATATGAGATTTACTTGAAATGTGAATTATAATAACACTTTATTATTTGTTCAAAATAATGATAATGAGTATTTCCTTGTATAAACAAAGTTTTTAAAAGAATGAGACAATGGTTGTTAATACTTTAATATAATTGTATGTTATTTACAGAAATAAGAAAGATAGTTTAAATATGTTAACAAGTAAAGGAGAAAATTGGGTGATGATTGTTGGTATATTTTGAATGTTTTGAATGATAAAACAGAAGAAATAAAAAATGAATTACTACCAACAAATATATTGTATGACTAATGAAAAAAATAGAACACATTTATAGAGATTCACACAACAACCATATTTAATCTGTTTGTGTTTTGTATTTTTATAATATACCATACCGATCAATGATGTTATTTGAATAAACGAGTATTTCACAAAATAATATCAATTAATGTTGTTCATTTGATAAAGTAACACAATTAATTTTGTCTAATATAAATGGATAAAATGGTTATACAATCAATAAACTCAATATCACAAGACTTTTGTCTTCTGCACTTAATTCTTTTTTATTATTTCATCAATCACTTTATTTATTTTTATGGTAATCAATTTCCAGTATATCAAAATATGGTAATGTGACACAAAAATCAAATTAGTGTTTTGTCACTTACAGTATTTAAATAACTAAAGACAATTGGTAAAACATTCATAAATATTGGTTATAATATTTTTAACAACATTAATTAACAATAAACTCATTCTACTTTTACAATGAAAGGAAAAAGAGACACATAATTTCACAATTCAAATTTCTTAAACCTCATAAAGAAATATTCAGATGAGAAGAAGTTATTCATTACGAACGAAACAAGAAATATAAAAATAAAGAATTACAAAATACAATTAATGTGTTAAATGATATTTATTCTATGTCTCTTTTTATTCTTCATGTAAATGAAAATACAAAATATCAATAATTAATTAAATAAAATAAAAGAAGAAGTAAATTATTTAAATATTGATATTTGAATAGAATATAATGAGGAATATATTATTGACAAATAAAATAAATAAGAGATTAGTTCATCTTTCCCAACTCTCGCACTTTTGACAAGCACAAATCTGGCTAATGCCAGTAAATGCTCCAAAGCACTGGTCTACAATAAACACTTCGGTATTACCCTCAGCTCTATTGCTCAACCTCGGTCTTGGTACTAAACTCACTTCTTTCTTATTTATCTCTTTGTTCTTTTCGTTCTTTAAATCTGAATATCACTTGTGATTTAATTAAGAATTAATATTTCATCTGTTTGATATATGAGTATTTCTTTTTCTTCATCTCATTTTATATCTTTTGTTGTATTTGATTCTATTATTTATTCTAATTTTATGTTTTGTTGTGTTTGTTTATTATTTCTATTCTTTATTTGTATATTGAACTTTTCATAATACTATCTTTATCTTCATCTCTTGTTTTGGCTTTATTTTTCTTTTCTTGATAATAACTTATATATTCAACAAAATACATTCATTATCAAATATACTTATTGTTTATTTCAATAAATAATACCATCATAATAATATATCCTTCCTTAATAATCATCCATACTAAATATTCAAATAATGAATAACCATTTAATCTTGTTTGAACAGTGCCTTAAAAAAAAAGCACTACCAGAAATAGACAATAACTAGCATGTTCAATAATTTGATTTATTATAATGTTTCATGTGGTGTGTCTGACTTGTGACATTTAATTTTCATTTTCTTTATCTCCTTTAAATACTCACAATATCACAAAATTAACTAACAAATACAAAAATGAGAAATAAACAGAAATAATAATCAATAAGAAACAAATAATAAGCAATCAATTAAGTATTGTAGAATTGGTTTCTAATTAATAAGAAACAAAGAAAAACCAAAGAAATAATAAATAAAAGAAACAAAAATGAAATAACACTTAGATAAATAGAGGAATTGCCATACAAACGATGAAAGATGATGATAATAATAAAAATAAAAAAAGTAAATACTAAATAAATAAAAATATCCATTAAGTCAATAAGAATTATTTTGATGCCAGTTTCACAAACTCTGATTTATCATAGGAACTAAATGATGAAGTTGCAACTTTTAAAGTATTTCTAAAGAAATGACTAATTATTTCTTCATTTATTTCAGTGTAAGTTTCTAGAGTTAAATGAACTTTACAATGCATCTATAATAATGAATAAAGATATTTATTGAAATTGAAGAATAAGAGAAAGACAAACTTGAGAAAGAATTCCAAAGACATACTTAATGAATGGTGTTGCTTGACTATAAAAAGTATTAAAAGAAGAAATATATTTCAATCCAGATAATGTTAATGGGTTTATATTTTGAATAGGTAATAATTGAGACTTTAAAACAATTGTTCCATTTTCTGTTGTTCCTTCAACAAAATAAATAATATGATTTGATTTGACCAACTCTAATTTTGTTTTTTTGAATAAGGTTAATGGAGTATTAAAAATACTACGTCGTATAGCTTGGAATAAATTTAGTTCATAAACATCTTCTGACTCAATGTTTTGTTCAGTTGGATAAACAAAGACTGCATTAAGTAAATAACGATAAATAACAATGTCAAGAAATGACTGATGATTACTAACAATTACACGTTTATTTGTTGATTTGTCTCTAATGAAATTTAATAAAGATTTTTAGGTATTTTAAAAAGAATAAAAGAAAAGAACAAACGTAATTTGAATAGAATAAATCCCACAAACAAATAATATAATTCTCAATAAACAATTTTGGATAAATTGAATTATTGAATTCATTGGTAACATTTCTGAAATATATAAAAATACTAATGCGTCTATTACCATTATAACTTTAATAGGAAAAACAACAATACCAAATAAGAGTGTTTGTATAGAAAATTGATTTTGTGTCATGAATGGATGAATACCTGTCTTAAAATCTCGCCATTTACTATATTTCTCCATCAAATAATAATTAATTAAAATTATAAGTTCTTTTAAATGAAATTTTAAAGAAAAAAATGAACAAATTTAATTGATGATACTTTCTTCTCCTTCTTTAACAAATTGCTCTAATGAATCTCCAATAATTTCTTTCACTAATTTTGCTTTTTGAACTATTAATCCTAAATGTGCAATTCTTGAACCTATAATTACAAGAAAAACTGATGGTGATAATGGGGTAACATAAATTGGTCCATTTTCATAATGAAGTATAATTTCTCTTACTGAAGATTCATTATTAAATTGTTGACTAAACATAGAGGCAATAACTTCAGCATGTACTTCATCACTTCCAGCATATGTTAATACTTTTCCTTGTTGGGTACAAATTGTAACTTGTTCAATATTGACTGAAATCATTGACTCGATTGTTTGATAAAGTTGTTTTACATTAAGCATGACTATAAAACCTTTCTTCTTTTTCAGTTTGATTTTCTCTTTTTCATTTCACTTTTACTATTCTAAACTATTAGTAAGCTATAATTTATTGTTTTTATCTTGAGATAGAAAAATCACTTCTAAATCATAATTCATCTCCCTTCATTATGAACACACCAACAATAATAATTGATAATGGAAGTGGTCTGATAAAGGCTGGAGAATCAAGTGAAGAATTACCAAAAATTGTATTTCCATGTGTTGTAGGACATTCTAAGGAAACTAACAAACTAGAAAATATAGGAGACTTTGCTCGATTTTCAAAAGACTTGAATTTACAACAACCAATTCAACGAGGGATTATCAATGACTGGAATGATATAGAAGATATTTGGGATTTTGCTTTTGAAGAGTTACAAGTAGAATCAAGTGACCAAGTTGTTATGTTAACTCAAGCAGCATTAACACCACCAATTCATAAAGAAAAAATGGCACAAATTATGTTTGAAGGATTTGGTATGAAAGGATTAGATGTTATGATGCAGAGTTTATTAGAACTTTATTTTAGCGGAAGAACAACAGGAGTTGTTGTTGATTGTGGATATGGAATGTGTCAAGTTGTTCCAATTTATAATGGATATATGATGGAACATGCTACTCTCCGACTCATGTGTGCAGGAGAAGAAATTAATGAATATTTAAGAAAATTATTAATTGAACGAGGAATAATATTTAGTACTGAGAGTGAGAAAATTGAAGTTGAAAGAATAAAAGAGCGATTAGGTTATGTTGCATTTGATTATAAAGAAGAATCAACATTAGCATCATTGTCTAGTGAATTAGATAAGAAGTATGAACTTCCAGATGGTCAAATAATTTCTATTGGAAGTGAACGATTTAAATGTAGTGAAGTATTATTTGAGCCAAATATTATTGGAAAAGAAACAAGTGGAATTCATGAAATAACATATAACTCTATTATGCAATGTGATTGTGATTTAAGAAAAGACATGTATAATAACATTGTTCTTTGTGGTGGAAGCTCAATGTTCCCTGGAATGAAACAACGATTTATTAAAGAAATTACAGTTTTATCCCCTCCTACTATTCAAATTAATGTTGATTGTAATAGAAAAAGAAAGTATGGTGCTTGGATTGGAGGAAAAATGTTTGCTAGTTTATCATCATTTGAAGAACGTTATATGAAGAAAGCTGAATATGATGAATTTGGTGCTTCTTATATTAATTCTAAAGATAAAAAATAAATCTTTCATTTTTCATAACTTTTTAAGTTATTTATAATATTATTATTGTTTTTTCCCCCCTTCTTAATAATTAATTATTGAAAATTTGCAAATTATTCTTTTCAACTCATTTTATATCTTTTGTTGTATTTGATTCTATTATTTATTCTAATTTTATGTTTTGTTGTGTTTGTTTATTATTTCTATTCTTTATTTGTATATTGAACTTTTCATAATACTATCTTTATCTTCATCTCTTGTTTTGGCTTTATTTTTCTTTTCTTGATAATAACTTATATATTCAACAAAATACATTCATTATCAAATATACTTATTGTTTATTTCAATAAATAATACCATCATAATAATATATCCTTCCTTAATAATCATCCATACTAAATATTCAAATAATGAATAACCATTTAATCTTGTTTGAACAGTGTCTCACCAATGACCACATAACAATTGACAATTCAATGATTTGATTTATTTTAGGGTTTGTGTTGTGTGTGTGATGTATTGTTTAAAAAAAAACATAAAACAGAAAAAACTAGAAAACATACTTAAATAATTTAAAGTTCAATAATGAAATTATGTGATACTTTGCTTTTTGTTAGTACTTCATTAATGGTTATTTCTTTATTTGTTGCAGGTATAACCGACAGTCCAAAATATCATAATATAGAAATAACTGATTGGTTATGTAGCCATAATAGATTATTATGTTTAAAGAATCTACCACAACACAATACCCAGTGTGAACCTCAACTTCCTTTTAAAGCAGCAACTTCAAGAGATGTTGTTATAGGAATGTTTGTACCAAAACGTGGATGGACTGAACAACACTTAGAAATGATGTCATTTGTTTTTTATTTAATGCGTCAAACCATTCCAAAAGCGCATTTAGTATTATTTTTAGCAGAACAATTAAAAGGGGTTGAGGTATGGGATAAAATGGTACAAACATATTCCATTGATGCTATTTATGTTAATGTACCAGAAGGATGGAATATGGTAAATTATAGATTTATGTTGTACAAAGAATATTTAAAAGAACATGAAGGAGAAATTGATAGAGTTATTTTTTGTGACTCAAAAGATATTTATATGTTAAGAGATCCATTTAAACAAATCAATAACCAAAATTCATTAATAATTGGAAGAGAATTTAGAAGTTCAGAAGATGATGACTATTATTCATATGATGGGTTTTATCAATATTATAATAATTATGTTTGGATGAAAGATGCATATGGTGAAACCTTTACTAAAGAATTAAAGGAAAAAAAAGCACCAATTAATAATGCAGGTTTTGGTGGTGGTGATGTTCATTCAATGATTAAGTTATTAACAATATGGACAAATGAAATGGTTCGTATTGGAGGTCAACAAAGATGGGGATTTGATCAGGCTGTGTATAATTACTTAATATATAATGGAACTATTAGTTCTCAATTTCCTTATGCTCATTTTGCTGATTGTAAACATGACAGGATTTGTATGTTTTCTGAAAAGAGAGTTAATCTTGTAAAAGGTATTCCTTACTTATTTGATGGGTGTATTCCTCATGTGTTACACAGAGATGGATTGTCTTTTAATATGATGGATGTAAAAAGATATCCACAAAACAATTTTAGTTAAAATTATTTATTTTTACTATATATTCTATTTTATAATAAATGGAGAATTTAAATTGAGTTAATAAAATTATAAAAAATTATTAAAATTTAGTTTATAAAAAAGAACTTGAAAAGAAAAGATTTAGATTTAAGAAAAGATGAGTTTCTTATCAATTTTTCAATTTATAGAAAATCCTCAAAATACTGATCAAAGCAAACATATGGTACTTGTCTCAGCACTTCATGAAGTTGTTATAAGTAGAGAAACAGAAAAGAATATTGATTCAATACATCGTTGTGTAAATGAATTATTAAAATTAGTTAATGTTACAGCTCAACCAATAAATGAAAAAAGTGATATTAATGAATTAATATTTCAATTTCTTATTCAATTAAGTATCTATAGATCTATGATAGCATTCAAACTTGATGCAACAGAAGTTGGTCAAAGTCTAATAACTGTTTCAGGGAAATTATTATACCTAACTTCAGGAAAAGGAATTCTTGAAGTTCTGGTTGGTGATCCTTTAAGAAATTTATCTGAAGCACAAATTAATCAAATTCAACATGATGATATTTTATATGCTCAACTATCCAGAATTAAAGCTGAATATGAAAATGCTATCATAAGTCAAAATACAAAAATTAATAATGAAATTGATTCAACTGATATGGAAATTCAACAATCAAAGATGGTTATTGCAAACACAAATTTTGCTTTTAAACAAAGGGCGAATCAACAACAAATTCAAGCTATACAAAATAGACTTCAAGAACTTAATCCAAATGCTTCTATTAAAATAGAGAATGATGTAGATTTAGATTTAAAGAAAGTAGATGTTTTTGTTTCTACATTAAAAATGTCAAGTTTATATCCATGTTTAAGTCCTATTACTCAAGCACTAATTAAGTCTGAATGTAAAGGTCTTGGTGTTATTTGGCTTAATACCCTTAAACAAGTAAGAACAGAACTTATAAAAAAAATGTTTATTGAAAGTAAAAATAATGGGGAATTAGATACAGCAATACAAATTAATATATTTGATGTTTGTGGAGAAACTGTTATTAGTAAATATCGTAAAGAATATGAAGATAAGGATAGAAAAATTCAAGAATTAATGAATTCTCTTAGAAATGCACATCCCTATCATTTTAATGTTGAAACACCATTTTTGTTAGAAGAAAAAGGTGTCTCAGCATCACCTTATTTACCAGTTATAGAAACATTTAAAAGAATTAGTGTTTCTAAATACCCATATCAAAAACTCACAATAGGAGCAACTTTATTACATGAAATAGAAAATGTTATTGATGGATTTTATTTAAGAACAGGAAAAAAAAGAGAGGTATTAGGAGCTGAACAATTGCCTCCACTATATTCTTATTTATTATTTAAATCAAAATATCCAAATGTTTATAGTGATTCTATGCTTATACAAGATTTTCTTGATGATTCTAGTGCATTAGATAGAAGAGGTCATTGGATTTCTGTTCATATGCAATGTGTTGAATTTATTTTATCATTAAATAAATACCAAATGGATAATAATTTAATTTCAAGTTTAATTACTGAAGGGCATGAAGGAACAGTTATTGTTATTGGAATGGAAGGTATTGGTAAAACAACACTTGTTAAATCTCTTAATATGAGAGAAATTAAAACTGTTGATGAACATTGTTTTGGAGTACGTTGTGGTAAATTAGAGATATTAGAATGGGACATATATGGAGACAAATCGGATATGATTCCAATGCAACAAATTAGGAATATTAGTGGTGTGGTTTTGTGTATTCCAAATATTGATGAATATACTATCAATACATCATTCGCTTTAGCAGCTCCAGTATTAAATTCATTAAAACATCCAGTCCCATTGTTATTATTAATGACTCGGCATGATATTTGTCCTACTATTACTCTAGAAAATTTCCCTAAATTAACAAATTTAATATTCAGCAATATTAGTCGTTTAGAACTATCATTATGTTCAGTTAATGGAGGTTATGGAATTTATGAATCTTTTATGAAACTTAGAGCTCATTAATTTAAGTATTCATTTCATCAATTAATTATTTACTTTAATAAGTCGTTGTGTTTTGTAACAACTTTAAATATAACTAAGTCATAAAATAATTTTCTTTAAAATTATAAGACATTTCTTTATTCTTTATTGTGATTTGACTTTTTATTTAAAGGAGGTTTAAAGTGTATTGAGAATTTTTATTCCTTTACTTTCTTAACAATAATCTCAATGGATTATAGAATAATCAGTAACATTTTAAAGTCTAATATCAGTTTATATTAAAATATAAAAATCTTATGATGTTTGGTCATAAAATTTATACACAAATCCTATTTCTTTCCATTTTATTAGTTCTATTCTTTTTTATGTATTCAGTCACATAATGTATATTTTATTGTTCCCAAATCGGTTATACATTAATTTTCATGTGCAAATTATTATACAAAGTATATTAACACTGATAAAATTTAATAACAAAAAGGAAGCAATTTTGATACTAAAACTTTCATTGTCACAACCATTTATTTAGAAAAAGTTCAAATAATCAAGAAACAATTGTCTATTGATGTGATTATGAAAAAATGACATCAATATTTCAACGAGTATAAATAATAATACTATTAGTAGAATTTGATGTTTTATTTATAAATAACTTCTTATTCTATAAATGTTCAAATATAAAACAGAGATATTTCATTGACATTCAATGTAGAATTAATATAACTGTAGTTTTGAGAAATATATGACTCAACATAAGAATAGATACAATAATACTTTTCAGAAATAAAGCTATGATATTTGAATGTAAAACTAATCAAATTATTTCAATAGAAAGTGAATAATACTAATATCTAAATGTTATTATTTCACTTATTCAATAGAATAATCATTAAAATAATCAGAAAATAACATTAAAATAACAAAACGAAGAGATATTAGTTTTGGGATGATGATATGTGAATCATTTAAATGGAACGAACGAAAAAAGAAAAACATTGAATGTTATTTGTATTGTGTTTATTTACTCTTAGTAATGCATATCTTATATTTGATGGAAAAAGCTTCTTTGACTCATGGGCAATATTTAATACAGCTGGATTGTTTGTTTTATTATTAATTATTATCTGAACTTCAATAGAATTGAAGGAAGAATAAAAAGAAGTTGATCAATAGAAATATTGAATTAAGTAAAAATTCAACAACAAACTACTTAAGTGCAAAACTTCGTTGCTGGGATACTATTTATGTACAAAGAACAACAAGTATTGACACTTCTGCTTCAAATTTCTTTTCATATGAAATATATTTCAAATCAGATCAAGTTAAAACAATGAGATTTAGAACACGTTTATTCTCATCTGCCTACAACCAACAAACAGAAACTGAATTGAAACCATATGACTATATAGTTAAATCTGGAATTGCTACTAAAGTTTATGTTCCATTAAGTTATGAAGATGAAAAAAATACATTACAAACATTCTCCATACAAAGAATAGAAACAACAGATGAACCAATTACATTCAAAATTAATGCTATGACTCTTGAAGCTGAAGGTGTTCCAACACCTAACAATGAAGTGTATAGTGAGTCTGATGAAAAAAGTCAAAGTGAAGAAATATCAACAGATGGAAGTAATCCAATTGTCATCATTGGATTATTATCAATCATCATGTTGATTGGATTTTAATTGAAGAATCATTTTGATTTTATTCTTTTATTTTCTTCTTATTCAAAATAAATAAAAACCTATTTAACAATCAGTGAGAAAGTAATCGAAAAAAGATATTAGAATGATAGAGTTGAATCAGTTTCTTCTTTAACATTATTTTAAATTATAAAAGGAACAAATCAAAATAACTTAATAATATGGATTTAATAAAAAATATAAATATGTTTTAGTAAATAAGTATAAATTTCCTTATTAACAAAATTCAATGACTTGTATAAATAATTTTAGTACAAGAAAAATAATAATGCTTTTGTAGCGATATAACATTTGATAGAAGAATGTATTAAATTGCAATAAATATTTAGTTATTCCAAATAAAAAATCATTAAGATATATCATCTGTCATAATAACTATACGATATTTATTACCAACTAATGAATATATTTAAATATTAATACCTATAATGAAAACACTCTTATCTAGTAATTTATTATTATATTGATTGTTCAATAAATGGTGAGTTGTTATATAATAGTTGTTACCTTTATTATTATATCTTAACCAATTAAAAAAAATAAATTTTCAATAGTCTTTATTTAATTATCAGTTGAGTGGATTGAAATAATTGGAGAACCTTAACGTAGAGTCGTAGAGGAGATTATATAGGACTTTGAACAAAAGAATCATTAGTATTCTGTTTATCCATTTCTTTAATTAAATTACTACATTGAAGTTTGGTTGACTCATGACCCTCTTGTAAAGCATTGACCTGGAGTTGTAGCTGATTGACTTGGAATTGGAGTTGTATGTTTTGTTGCTTTAAGCATTCTATTTGAGATAATTGATAAGCAGACTGTTTTTCAATGAAAGACATTAATGTCTGACTATTTGCTGCTGATGTTTCCATAAGACTTTGAAGTACTTTTGAAAAAAGTGTATTGGTTTGATTTAAAGATACGATATAATCTGTAATTGCCTTCTTATTATTTTCTTCTTGAGCACTAAGTTGGTAGATAAGTTCTTTGTATGGTTCCATCGAAAGACAAATATGAATTAGTTAAAAAATTTAAAATAATAAAAAAGCGTCATTCGTTTTTCTTTTCTAGGAAAATATTTTTTATTTATTTTGAGATAAAAAACAAAAAAATATTTTCATAAATTAATATTAATTAAATCATTCAACAGACTCAATAGACTTCATCATTGATAACATTGGTCCTTCAGGGTTCACTCTTTTCAAATAATAACATGCCCTTTCAATTGGTATTGAAACAAAATTGTTATGATGATGACAAATAACTAATCCTGTTTTTCCTGCCATAGCTACATGAACTGCTGCATTTGCTAAACATAAACAGAAATGTGCATCAGCTGCACTACATGGTGCTGATCGAATCATATAAGATGGATCAACAAATTTAATAGTATGTTCTATTTTTTTATTTTCTAAATACTTATCTATTTCTTGTCTAATATATGTAACAGCATCCCAATGAACAATATTTCCTGATTTATCACTACCAAGATCAAGACCTTTTGGTTTAAGATTTTGACATGCCCCTTCAGCAATAACAATCACTATATGTCCTTTTGACATTAATCTTCTTTCTGTCATTTTAAGAATCTCTTCAATTGGTGTATCAACCTCAGGAATTAATACTAAATTTACATCTCCTGATGCAACTGATGCATATAATGCAATAAACCCTGCATCTCTACCCATTAGTTTAACTATTCCAACTCCATTCTTTGCTGATTTAGCTTCACAATGAACTGAATTAATAGCTTCTTGTGCTAATTCTACAGCAGTATCAAACCCAAAAGTAGAGTCTGTATAACAAATGTCATTGTCAATAGTTTTAGGAATACCAACAACTGCAATAGGACTACCTCTTCTTCTTAATTCTTTATTAATTGCATTTGCCCCTCTTAATGTACCATCTCCTCCTAATGTGAAGAGAATATTAAAATTATTGTCAATAAGAAATTGTGCCATAATTTTAGGGTCTTGAGCTCCTCTTGAAGTACCTAATATAGTTCCACCTCTTTGATGAATATCATCTACAACAGATGTGTCAAGTTTCATTTGTTCAGATAATTCAGGAACAAGTCCTTCATAACCATATTTTAAACCATAAATTTGTTTAACTCCATATCTATTTTGAAGGTTCATAACTAATCCTCTAATAACATTATTTAATCCTGGACATAATCCTCCACATGTTACTATTCCAACTTTGGTTCTTTCTGGAATGAAGAATATTTTTTCCATTGGTCCTGCTAACTCAGCTTCACATTCATTAACAGGTATTCCATCAATTTTAATAGCAGACATAGACATTGTCATTCCATCTACAAAAGGTTCAGGTGATGCATATGTATTTTCATATTTACATTCTCCTAATGATGTAATTTTTAATGATGGAAGTGGTTCTTCTGGTTTTTTAGCAATAAGTAAATCATTTCTTTGATGGACATGTCTTCTTTCTGACATAATGTTTTATAGATTTGACCTTTCAGTTCAAAATGGTTTAAAAGAAATAAAGAAACCCACCCTTTTGATAACTGAAATCCATTAAAATTCCTTACAAATTTCCATTTAACGCTTATTATTTACCCTAAAAAACTATTTTTCATTTTCTGAAGGATTTTTATGGTTTTTTCAATTAATCTTCAATTTTTGTATTAAATTTCGTGACAAAATTAGTTTCTTTTCACAGGAATAAAAAACAGTACGACAGTTAGATTATGTAGAAGTGTTTTGCTGAAAGAAAATACAGAACTTAAAAATATCAAATAAAAACAAAAAGTTCCAACAACGTGAAATTACATCAAAGAGTAAAAGAAAAAAGAATAGATAGAATAATCAAAGAGGAATTGAAATAGAAAATTTTGGATTAATTTAGAAGAGTTTTTTCCCTCATTTAAAAGAAAACCGAACTATAAATTTTATTTAAAAATTAGTTCATGGAAGTCGAATTAAAACTTATTTGTGGAAGAGATTTAAAAGTATGTGATATTTGTACTTCTGACCCTTATGTAAAATTTGTTATCAATGGAAAAAAGTATAAAAGTAAAACAAAAGTACTTACTGTTGAACCAGATTGGGATGAAACATTTAAAGTAAAATTAATTGCTGGTAATACAATAGAATTTCAAGTGTATGACCGAGACTTAATTGGAAAAGATGATTTTATGGGAAAAGTATCATGGACAGTCCCTCAACTATTTTTGGGTCAAACTAATTTTTATGTACTTCATTTAGATACAAAAGGAACAATCACTTTTAGTACAAAATGTATTTCTGGAGGAATTCCACCACAAATTGAACCTCACTGTGATGTTAATAGACCACTAATTCTTAGATTTGATGTTAAGTATGTCCTTGGACTTTTTTTTGGATATGGATTAAGTCATGGAATGTTTGTTTCTCCATTACCAAAAACATTAACTGGTGAATGGGAAACAAGTTTTGGAAAATTTAGAGGTGGTATCACAAAAATTTCTTCTCTTAATTATGGACCAGAACGACTTTTAGGGGGAGGAAGAACTTTTTATGTTTTGGCTCGTGTAGGAGAAGTAATTTCTTTTTCTGCTTTTCTTAATTCAAGTTCAGCTCAAAAAGGAGGAGATCTATTAGTAAAAGGATTTTATCTCGTACCAGATTTCCATCAAGATGAAAAGACAGATTTTGGATTTACTTTGGAGCCAGGAGGATCATGTCTTGTTAGTTGTAAATGTGTTCAAAGTATTTATAAAAACGTTCAACCTGCTATGATTCCTTCTGAAAAAGATTATGCATCAAACGTTGCTTTCCCTTGTGAAGTTATTGTCAAACACCTAGAAGGTATAGGTTTCGCTGGACTGTTTAATGTTACACCTTATGTTATATTACAGTCAAACCAAGTAGAATATACAACTTCTGTATTACTTAGAGAAAGAAGTAGAAATCACACATATATGCCTAAAGAATGGAATCATTCTTTCTTGGTTCCTGCTTTTGTTGGACAAAAGTGCATTGTTAAACTTATGAATAAAAAAGCGTTTGACATAGCAACAGATAAAGACATTGAATTGGTAAAGACAGAATTTATATGGCCTGACTTTAAAGGACAAGAATCAGTAGATATTACTCTTCCTTTAAATAAAAAATTAGGAGATCTAAAAATAACATTAAAGAGAATAAGAGAACTTAGTGCTTATTACAGAAGGGTGTATCTTGGTGAAGGTTATCCACCAGTGATTTGCCAAATACCACAATAATATTAATTTACATCTCTTTTTCATTAGTACTTTCTTCACATAATTATAAGTAATAGTTTTTATTTTATATCAAATTCAAGGAAATTAAAAAAATAAAAAATAAAAAACTTCAATAAATTAATTCAAATAAAGGAAATGTCATACGATAGAGCTATTACTGTATTTTCACCAAATGGTCATTTATTCCAAGTAGAATATGCACTTGAGGCTGTAAGTAAAGGATTAGTTTCTGTTGGTGTTAAAGGAAAAGATTGTATTATTTTTGGTGTTGAAAAGAAATCAATTGCCAAATTACAAGACCCAAGAACAGTGAGAAAAATTCAACAAATTGATCAACACATTTATACTACATTTGCTGGACTAACTGCAGATGCACGAGTATTAATTAATAAAGCAAGACTTGAAGCACAAAATTATCGTATGTCAATGGAAGATGCTCCAACTGTTGAATATGTTACAAAAGCAGTTGCTAATTATCAACAAAAATATACTCAGCAAGGTGGAAGTCGTCCATTTGGTATTTCTACTCTTATTGGAGGGTTTGATCCTGATGGAACTCCAAGATTATATCAAACTGATCCAGCTGGAACATGGACAGAATGGAAAGCTCATGTTGTTGGAAGAAATTCAAAAACAGTTGATGAATATTTAGTAAAAGGATATGAAGATAATATGGAAATAGATAAAGCAGTTGTAGTTGTTGTTCGAGCTCTTTTAGAAGTTGTTGAAAGTAAAAATAATATTGATGTTGCTGTTTTTACACGTGATTATAAATTAACAATGTTAAATGATACTAAATTAGCGGAAATTGTTCAACAAATAGAAAGAGATAAGCAAGCTGAAGCAGAAGAAAAGAAACCAATTCTCCAATAAATTTTATTTTCTTTCTCAGTCAAATCACTATTTCTTTTTTAGTTATTGTCTTTTCATTATAACTATCCGAAAAAAAAATTAAAAATAATTAATGATTTATAAAAAAATTAATGAATTTCTTGAAGAGCAACAACACGTAATTCTTTATCTAATTCTCCATAAAACATAGCTTCTTTTGAAGTTTGAATAATTGTAGCAAAAGGAGTGAATTTTTTTGCTACTGAGATAGAAACTGATCCTTTAACACAAATTGCTATTTGACAAGATTGATGTACAGATTGAACAGTTTGTAACAAAGGAAGAAAACAATCATCTAACATAAAACAAATAATAATAAAATGGTTAAGAGAACCAATGGTTTTTTGTGAAAGAAGAGAAGTAAGTGAATTTACATGAAAATGTAAAGAAGTTAAAGAATTAGTATCATTTAAAAACATAACTTTTAATTTTTTTAATAAAGGCATATAAGCAGTACCTTCAAACCTTCCATTGAAAATAAATTCTAATGAAGTAATTTTAGGTTGTATTTCTTTAAATAAATCATTACTACCACAACCTTCATGAAATATATCAAATAATGGATAATTTTTAATTTTTTCTAATGGAAATGATGAAATCATACTAAATGATCCTCTTAATGTATCAATATGGTCAAAGAATTTAAGCTCTTTTTCAAATAATTTAGTTCTTTGTTTTAAAGTACATTTGCTTCTATAGTATAATGAGTCTTGAAAATTAGGATTAATTTTTAAATTACTTGTAGCTCCTTCACATTTTTTATTAACACAACAGAATAACTTTAATGAATCAAAATCATATAAATACATAGCAACAGTCATCATATAAAATTGTTCTAATACACAACGTTTTTTGATTTTACCCATTAATTAATGTTTTTAAGTTCTTCTTTTATTATAAAAAGAAAAGAAATTAGATTTTAATTACTTATCACTTCAAGATTTATTATATAACAAAAAAGAAAAACGTTTTTCTTTTTCTTTATGAAAAGAATAAACATAAAATAAATAAAACAAACCAACACATAACAAATGCCCAAATTAAATTTCATTAGCAAAGCTTTGTAGTCAATTTACCAGCTTTAATTGGGAGATTAAATCTCTTTGATGCAATAACTGGTTTACAATGTACCATTGGGAATTTAACATGGTGTCCAACAAATTGATGAAGGACTGGATTCTTAACAGCTTTGTCTCCAACAGTAGTAATACTAATTAATTGAATTTTATCTTGTCTTGTTCTGTATTGTGATGCAAGGTCGTTGTACATTTGTCTAACAGCACCAACTCTAGTAACATCTCTATATTGTTTAGTAATATTATGAATTCCACCAGCAGAAACATATCTTAAGAAGATTTGATAATTCTTAACAACAGTTGGGTTCTTTTCAAAAATTGGTTGACATTGAAGAAGTTCTGCATTAATCTTCTTGACTTTGTGTTGTTTCTTTAACATCATCCAGAATTTAGATTTAGCAACTACATAATTTGGTGCAAAAACTCTTGATCTGAAGATTTCATTTGGGTTGTGAGCTTTATCAGTACATCTGGCTGTGATATAGTATTCCTTCATTCAGACAACGAAACAACTATTTAGGTCAATTTTATTTAGTTCTTCATTTTAGGGTTTATCTTCTTTCTCTATTTATTGTTAATCAATAATAGTATTATTATTATTATTATTTTTACTGTGAAAGTATAGTAAAATATGAAATATGCACTTGAAAATGATAAGAAGTGGAAGATGACAGAGGATTGGAAAAACTTTGAACATAAGTATGACTCATTAAAATTAAACATGAAAAAGGTCCCTTTTATTGATAATGATAACACAAAAACTATGGAAGAATTCATTCATGAAACAGAACAAAATATGAAACCTATCCATGAGGATAAGAGACATTCTGAAGAAAAGAAACCTATACAAAAGAAAGAAAATAATAAAGACTCAAAGAAAGAAGCTAAGAAACCTAATGTGAAGAAAGAATTTAAAAAGTCTAAAGAAACAAATAATGACAAAAAGAAATAATTGATTGTGCGTTAATGATTTAATAAGTAAATAATGATTAAACTTTAATAAAAAAAAAATAAGATTGAAAAATAATTAAATCAGTGGTATTGTTTTATTTCTGTTGTGAACCAATACTTTGTTTATCTAGTAGCTTGCATTTCAGCGATTAAACGTTGGGCAGAAACTATAATGGCATTAGGTGATTGTCCACCTTGGTTCTCAGCTTCTTGTGACCATGAACCAGCAGCTCCTCCTTGTGCAGCACTTTGATCAGCTCCTCCTTGTGCAGCATTTTGATCAGCGCCTCCTTGTGCGGCATTTGGGTCAGCTCCACCAGCATCTTGTTCTAATTCATACTCATCATTTTCATCGTTGTTGACATCGTCTAATTCTGCTTCTTCAAAGTCATCAAAATCATCTTCATCGTCCATTTCATCTAGAAAATCTTCTTCGTCATCATCAAAGAAATCTTCATAATCATCTAAGTCATCTTCAAAATTGTCTAGAAAATCTTCTTCATAAAGTGCAAAAGAAGCTGCAATTAAAAACAAAAATAAGGTAAATTTCATATTCTTAATAAAATTATAAATTTTTAGTTTCTTTTTTATTTTTTATTTTTCAATTCTTCACTTTTATTTTTTGTAATTTATTTCATTCTTCTGAGTTTTAAGATTATTTATGTACTTTTCAAGTTCTTTCGTGATTGTTTTTGACTTTCAATCTCTCAGTATAATTTAAAGATTCTTCATGAAGCTTTTTGTTGGTTAGAAAAAAAGATGAAAACAGTTCACTTCTTATTGGCTTGCTATTTTTTTATATTTTTAATAAAAGAAATTGGTGGTTATTCAAATGTCATTTCTTTATGGGACAATGATAAGTTCTTTGGTCATGTGTTGTTTCTTCCACCACAACACTTTATGGCTTTCTTCTTTGGTATTATTTTTATAAGTTGTGTTTGTTAGTAGTTAAACCTTTAAAAGGTTTCAAAAATTTATCATTTTTATAAAAAAATAAATCACTAAAACTAAGAATTGATAACCTGTTATGTCAGATGATTATTATGCCATTCTTGGTGTTTCTAAAACTGTTTCAGATGAAGAATTAAAGAAGGCATATAGAAAGAAAGCTTTAAAATATCATCCTGACAAGAACCCAGGAGATAAACAAGCAGAAGAAAAATTTAAAGAAATCACTGAAGCTTACCAGATACTATCAGATAAAGATAAACGGGTGTTGTATGACCGATATGGTAAAGAAGCATTTACAAGAGGTTCTAATACTTCAGGCTCTGAATTTTTCAATCGAGAACAGTTTGTGTTTAGAACAAGCGAATATGGGACAGACCCATTTAGGTTTTTTGAAGAAATGTTTAGTGGTTTTGGAATGTTTGAAAGAGGACAAAATTTTCAAAGAAAAAAGCTTCAAGATTTAACATTTGATTTAAACTTAACACTTGAGGAGATCTTTTTTGGAACAAAAAAAGAGGTTAGGTTTAAACGGATAGTGTCTGAATTTGGGGACGAAAATTATGAAATAGACAACGTTCAAGTAAAAATTCCTGCAGGGTCAAAAGTTGGCACTAGGATAGTATTTGAAAATAGAGGTAATAAAAAATACGGTTATAGAGATGGTGATTTAGTATTTATTGTTCAAGCTAAACAACATGAACTCTTTAATTTAAAGGGGAATGATTTACATTGTTCAGTTGATATTTCTTTAGAAGAATATTTGACTGTTATTAAATTAGAGATAGAAAATATTGATAATGAAAACATTTCATTAGTATTGAATGAACAATATCTTAAAGGAAAAGATATTACTCTTGAAGATAAAGGAATGTTAGTATTAAATAGACGTGGGAATATGGTTTTACATTTAAACGTAAATTATCCAACAACATTAACAGATAAACAAAAAAGAGAATTACTTAAAATTCTCTAAAATGTTATAAATTTTATTTGCTAACTGTTTAAACAAAATACTATTTTAAAAGGTAAATAAAAAATCAATTCAAATAGGTTTTTATTGTTATTTTGAAGATTGAACAAGAGTAGGTTTTTTATTATTTTTCTTTGGTTTTTTAACTTGAACATGTTTTTTCAATTCACTTGACTTTAAACAAGGAGAATTTTTAAACATTTCTGGAAGAACAACAAACCGAACTTGATTACCTCTAATAAAAATATACTCAGTTCTAGATTGGCTTCCATCTTTTGCAGTAATAGTCACATCCTAAATAAATTATTCTACTTGTGTTAATGAATGAAAAATATAAACAAACTCTTAATTGGCAATTCATATTATCTTCTGTTTCAACCATTCTACCACGGTATGTTTCTCCTGTTTTTACTTCAATAGTGACTATTGTACCTTTACTTTCATGAAAAATTTTAAGTGGTGCACCTATATTCATATTGGCTAATACTTTTTTTAGTTCTTTTTATTCAATTAAAATGGGATATATAACATAAATAATACAATTACAGACGTTCAAGGTAGATAAGAGTTTTCCATAACTCTATTGTATATTCAAAAGCAACTGGTCCAATAATGCCTGCCAACGTTTCTTTAAACTTTATGAATGATGGATGAGAGTATAATAAATCCCATAAAAATTTATTAAAGTGAGAATTAGAAGAAGAGGTATTGAATAATTTATCTTCAATAATTCTTAAAGCACCATCAATCATTTCTTTTTGATGAATAAGTATTTCCCAATTAATAGGTTGTTCTTCGATATTTGTTAGTTGGTCAACTTGAGCTATTAAATCCATTTCATCATTATAAGGTATTGTTTGGTCTCCATTTCCTTTTGTATTGTATAATTGAATATCTAAAGTGTATTTTAGATCTTTTCCAAAGAAAGACAAATCATCATATTCAAATTTCGATACATCTTCCATTTTGTCTATTATTTCTTTATTTTTTTTTTTAATTTTTAATTTTTTTCTTTTCAGTTTGTCATTATTTATTAACTTATTCGATAATAAAATTTTTAATAGTTTTTTAACTAATAAATTAATTATTAGTTCTAATCTCTAATTATTAGGGAAAAACCCAAAAAATTAGGGATTTATAAAAAATTCACTTTGTTAAACTTCACTTTATTCGTTGTTTAAATTTCATTGTTTTATCAATATAGAAAAAGCAATATTTTTTAAGTTTTTAGTACAACCTGAATTTAAGTCATCTCATAAATTAAAGATATATCTTAAATAAAAAGAGATGACATTGAAAGAAAAAGACATGACAGTGAAAGACTATATTTTCCAAAATAATCAAAATGTAATACGTAAAATGAGAAAAAAAGACTTACTTAAAGCAGATACTGTTGAATGTCAAGTTGCAGGAGCAATTTTTGGTATAAAAGAAGTATATTCAGTAAATCAATGTGTAGAAGACAGTAAATTAAGGAAGATATTATTTCATAATGGTCATATTAATCTTATTAACTTTTCTTCTGAAGTAAAAATTGATGCAGACAAACGTCCATTTCAATATTGCGCATTATTTCTTGCACCTCGAGTTAATAACCATTTCTATTTTGAAGAAGGCAAAACTTTTTGTACAAAAAAATTGTCTATTAAATCACCAACAGTGATAGAATTTGTCCCTCTTAAAGGGTGTTTATTTGGTTTACAAATTTGTAGAGAAAAAACTAATGAAACAATAACTATAAAGAGTAATGGAATTATTTTATCTTCATTCACAGAAGAAATAATACAACCAGTTCATCAAAATTCAGCACTAGGAATAAAATTAGATATGAAATCAATTGAAGTTTATGTTAATGGTAAAAGTCAAAAACAACTTGAATTTATTGGTACTGAATTCACATTAAAATATGATAACTTATTACCAAGTATACTTGATATTAATGATGGAATTTTTCCTTATCGTTATAATTATGGTCCTACTACTCCAATATATATTCAAATGTTAGAAAACTCTGATTTAGCACAACTTCCAGTACGTTTATTTCAATTTTTACCAAATGACTTTGAAACAGATTTTGCAGCAATTATTTATTCTCATAACACAAATTTTCTTAAAGAACTTTTAAGAAAAACAGGTAAACCTAAATTTTGTTTTAAAAAAGAAAATTGTTTAATTGCTGCATGTCAAGTAGGTGATATAGATGGATATCAATTTGTCTTAGGTGATAACAAAAGTAACACACTGTTATTATACAATCTTGTCTACGATCTATTACTTGGAGAAATCACATTGAATAAAAAAATAATCTTATTTGATATTATAAAAAAAGAGTCAAACAAAATATCACTCTCTAAAGCACTTGAAATTATAGGATTAATTGGAGATATTGAATTATTTGATGAATTATATCAAATTTACTTAAATACTAAAAAAACAAAATCACCATTTATTCTTCCTTTCGATAAAATATTAAAGAATTGTGTTATTGCTAATCAAAATTCATTATTTTCTTATATCTGTTCATTACCTGAGATTATGGATTTGAGTTCTCCAAGTATAAAACTAGTAGTAGAGAGTATTCTTACATTTGGAACTACTCAATTATTAACAGAGTTTATGAACAGTTGCCAAATCAGCGATTTGAGAGGGACTGTAATTACAATTATAGATACTACTAACTCTGAGGTTATTAAAAAAGCTATTGAATTAGGATCTTCATTTAATGAAACATTGTTTTCTTCAATCTCAACAAATTTTAATTTATTTAAAACGGTTATTGAATTAGATCCTTCAAAAATAAATAGTTTTAATGGTTCAGATACTTTATTACATTATGCTGTAAATAAAAAAAATGAAGAAGCAGTGAAATATATCATTTCAAAAGGAGTTGATACTGAAAGTAAAAATAAAGATGGAATTATTGCAAGTCAATTATGTGATATAAACTCATGTATTTTAAAACTTCTTCAAAAAAGACCAATAAGTTATTCATTGAGTGATGATATTGAAGATTATAATGGAGTTGACTGCAATTATCAGTTATTTAAAAAAGATGGGGAAGTGTATGGCTTTTGGATTAATAAAGAAACAATATCATACGGACTCTTTAAAAATAAAAAATTTATATCAGTTGTTCAAAAAAAATTACCAAATGAATATGATTGGGAAAATTTTGTTATTGAAAAAACACAATTTTCAGATAATAAGTTATATATTATAAATAGAGTAAATAAAACAATTATTGTTCGTTGGGATTTACAAAATAATCTTAGCGTTATTGAACCAATAGATATATTAATGAATGAATGGAACTATTGTATATTTAATGATACACTTATTTTATTATCACAACAACCAGATAACCCAAATAATAAAATTTTATACCAAGCAAAACTCACAAATTTTGCTCCATTTGTAAAATTAATAAATAGCTCTATTAAAACATCATCTGATATTTTAATTAATGTTAATGGATATGTTGCAGTCTTAGACATTGATGAAGAAGTTATTGTGGAAGGAGTTAATGAAAGAAAAATTCTTGGCTTAAGAAAATTAAAAGATGCAGTATCAATTTTTAATGGAATTGAATGGATACATAAACAATTCAGTGTTGTAGATAAAATTTCTAATGAAATAATTAGGAAAGTTATATATAGTGATAGATATATATATGTATTATGTCAAGGAAAAAAACATGTATTAATAGATTTATTTACTGAAATGATATTTGACATGAGGACAGCTATTGATGTCACATATAAAAATAGAGATTTAATCTCATTAACAGACGACCTGATAATTGGAGATTCAATCTTTTCAAGTGAAGAGGTTCCTAAATTCTCACAATCTATATACTTTTTAATGAGTCTTATATATGATGCTGATGTTTTCACAATTATGTGTATAGATGGAAATATTTATTATGAATTGTTTTTAGTTAAAATGTTACCATTCTTTAAAGATTTAATTAATAAAAAAATATTAGTTACAAAGGTTCATTTAAAGAAAAGTGTTGTAATACCATTAATCTCTATGATGATCTCTGGAACAACTTGCTTTGGAAATAATGTAGTTCTTGAACAACAAATTAATATCTTATTAACTGAATTAGCTAATAATATACCTGACAAAAATGAGAAAGAAAAAATAATTGATGATATTAGAAAAATAGGAGGTGAAGAATTAGTAAAAATGTATTGCGTTCCTTTTAGTCAATGGCAAGAATTACATAGACTAAATGAAAATGAAGGAAATATTGTCATTATAATTGATGGAAAGAAATACAAAACTTACAAAGCAATGCTGGCTTGCCTATTTCCTATACTAAAGCAAGTTATTTATGAAGAGGAATGTAAAGAAATTGTTATTAAAGATCCATTAATGAAAAAAGTTCTCCCATATTTAAATGACTTAGAACACAAAAACTGGAGAGAAGAGTTTTTTACTTCATATATAACAAAACATATTGAATGAACAATTAATTATATTTTGTGTTATTTGATTAAAATATTGAAAAACTATAAAATAAAAACCCTAAAATAAAATAAAAAGAAGATGTCTGTTCGTGATATTTATGATAATGAGAATGATGATGTAAACACTTCAGATGAAGAGTCAATTGACACCTTAGGAAATATTCCATTGGAGTGGTATAATGAGTTAGAACATCAAGGATATGACCATTCAGGAAAACCTTTGCCTAAACCAACAAAAGGAAGGTTAGATTCTATTGACCAATTCCTTGCTATGACAGATGATCCTAATTATTATAAAACAGTTTATGATGAATATGGAAATGCTACAGTATTAAATGCTGATGATATTAGATTAGTTAATGCAATTATTTCTAATAAAAGTGACGCTCAATTAGAAAAAGATTTCCCAGCAGTTTCATATGCATATGATGATTGGATGATTCCATTAAATGATTATACTCCACCTAAACAAAGATTTATTCCATCACAAAAAGAACATATCCGTATTAAGAAATTGGCTGCTAAATTACGTAAACAATTCATTACCCTTCCACAAAACGTTACAAAAAAGGCACGTGTAAAAGATATTTGGGGTGCTGGTGTTCATAAAAAAAAATATCACCTTCCTCTTCCACCAGTTAAATTACCAGGTAATTCAGCATCATACCATCCTGCTCCAGAATATAAGAATGAAAATAATACAAACTATGATCGTTTAATGGATATTCCACAATACTCTAATCTCTTAAATGATGTTTATTCTAGATGTTTACAACTTTATGTTGCACCAAGAAGACTTGTTAAAGTTCCAGAACATAGAGACCCATTGAAAGAATTAATTCTTCCACCATTAGAAGAATTAAGACCATTCCCTTCAAATAGAAATGGAGTTGTCAAAGTTAAAGAAGTTATGAGATGTATTGTTGTTGACCCAAGTGGAGAGTATGTTGCTTCTGGAGGAGATGATGGTTCAATACTTATTACGGAAGCTCTTACTGGAATGGAAGTTAAACAAATTAATTTCCCTGAAGCTATTAGAGATATTCAATGGGGAAAAGATGATGTGTTATTTATTGCTGTAGGAGAGTTTGTTTATGGAATGAAATTGGATATTAGAGACGTTGATAGTGATTATTCTATTTATGAATTGGAAAGTGTTAAAGTTGAAGTGTTTGAAAACAAAACTTCATTTATTACTCCAAATGAAGAATTAAAAAAAGAAGGTATCATTTTAGCTATTCATCATCCACATTTAGTTAAAAAGTTATCATTACACCATAAAGGATCATATTTAGCATGTGTATTTGGAACTTCGTCAAATAGTTATTGTGTTATTCATCATCTTCCAACCAAACGATCACAAAACCCTGCAAAGAATTTAAAAGGATTTATTCAAAGTTGTGTTTTCCATCCATTAAAACCAATGATTGCTATTGCTACTTTATCTAAAATTGTTATTATTGATTTACAGAAAGGAGTAACTCAAAAAAGATTAAATGTTCCATCTAAAAGTATTACTGATATTGTATTCCATCCATGCGGAGACCATCTTATTGCTTGCTCATTTGATAAGAAATGCATTTGGTATGATCTTCAAGCTGGCCTAGACCCATTTAAAGTTTTAAGACTTCATACAGCTGCAGTACGAGCTGTTGATGTTCATAAAATCTTACCATTATTTGCAACTATTGGTGATGATGCAGAAATTCAAATAATGCACGGGGCTGCTTCAAGTGATGTTACTGTTGATCCAATACTAATTCCAATTGTTAAACTTGGTGGTCATGAAAAAAAGGGGCAATTAGGAGGAACTGACATTGCATTCCATCCATTCTTACCATGGATTTATTCTACTGGTGCAGATGGTACTATTCAATGGTACTCTGATTGGTTCTAATTAAATAATTGAATGATATTGGTTTTTTTTTGATATTTACTATATTATATTATTTTGTTATAATAATAATACTCACTTTCAAAAACTAAAATTCTAAAAATTCATTTTGAATAATAAATTTCCAACAGTTGTAAAAACTTATTTTTGAATAAAAAAATAAAAAAATGAGACAAAAATCACGATTTTATTGAATAAACAATTAAAAGATCCTAAAAAAGGAGTTGAACTAAATAAAAAAAGTGAGAACTTTGGAGTTTTATAAAAATTAAACTCCAAGAGTCAGGTATTTAAAGATTGACAAAAACTAAACTAAACATTTAATTAATATGGGAGACGAAGAAGTTCAAGCACTTGTTGTAGATAATGGATCAGGAATGTGTAAAGCTGGATTTGCTGGTGATGATGCACCAAGAGCTGTATTCCCATCCATTGTTGGTAGACCAAGACACGTTTCAGTTATGGCTGGTATGGGTCAAAAGGATGCTTATGTTGGAGATGAAGCTCAATCAAAGAGAGGTATTCTTACACTTAAATATCCAATTGAACACGGTATTGTTAACAATTGGGACGATATGGAAAAGATCTGGCATCATACTTTCTATAATGAACTTAGAGTTGCACCAGAAGAACATCCAGTTCTTTTAACTGAAGCCCCAATGAATCCAAAAGCTAACAGAGAAAAGATGACTCAAATTATGTTTGAAACATTCAACACCCCAGCTATGTATGTTGGAATTCAAGCTGTTCTTTCATTATATGCCTCAGGTAGAACTACTGGTATTGTTATGGATTCAGGTGATGGAGTTTCACACACCGTCCCAATTTATGAAGGATTCTCACTTCCACATGCTATTCTTAGACTTGATCTTGCAGGACGTGATCTTACTGATTATCTCATGAAAATCTTAACTGAAAGAGGATATGCTTTCACCACTACTGCTGAAAGAGAAATTGTCAGAGATATTAAAGAAAAACTTTGCTATGTTGCTGAAGATTTCAATGAAGAAATGCAAAAAGCTGCATCAAGCAGTGAACTTGAAAAGAGCTATGAACTTCCAGATGGACAAGTTATTACTGTTGGAAATGAAAGATTCAGATGCCCAGAAGCTCTCTTCCAACCATCATTCCTTGGTATGGAATGTAATGGTATTCATGAAACTACCTACAATTCAATTATGAAATGTGATGTCGATATCAGAAAGGATCTTTATGGAAATATTGTTCTTTCAGGAGGAACATCAATGTATCCAGGTATTAACACCAGACTTGAAAAGGAAATGATTCAATTAGCACCACCAACAATGAAGATTAAGGTTATTGCCCCACCAGAAAGAAAATACTCAGTCTGGATTGGAGGATCAATTCTTGCCTCACTTTCTACATTCCAAAACATGTGGATTACCAAGGAAGAATATGATGAATCTGGACCAGCTATTGTCCACAGAAAATGCTTCTAAGCGTTTTAATTTACTTCTCATTTGATAAGTTTTTTAAATTAATGTTTTTAAAGAATAAGAAAAATGAAAGTTTAAAAATAAAACTTAATAATGGTTGATGAAAAGGAATGAAGAAAGCAAACCAAAACGATTTACACAAAGTGAAATGTCACAGTTTAGTCAAAGTCAAGTCATTGACATTATTTCAAGAGCACGCAAGAGTGAAGGAAGATTTACTCAAGGTGAAAAAGAGATTAAAAAAAATGAAAGTCCAAAAGAAGGAGTTACTATTGATCCAGAAAGAATTAATAGTGAAGAGTTAAGAGTAAAAAATTTAATGGATAAATTTAAAACGACTGATGAAAATGTACAAAGCATTGTTGACGAACAAAATAAGTTAAGGTCAATTATGAGTAAAGCTTTTCATGGTGAAAATTATGAAATTGTATTTAATATGACAAATATTGACTATGTTTGTTTTATGTCATTTTTACTTTTAAGAGTCATTTACTTTATTTGAAGCTCTTATAATTTTAGATGGAAGAATTTGATGGACAATGGGAGTGTTGTGTTTCTATCAAAGTCTCTTTAAAAAATACCAAGACTGGTGTTGTTCATGAGAATGTTGGATCTGCTTCAAGTAAAGGAGAAGAACAAGAGACTGTATTAAAAGACTGTGAGAAAATGGCTAAAATTAATGGGTTATATCGTTCACTACAATTATTTGGAATTTCTACAACTGACTTTTATCAACAATATCGTAGTTTATTATTAGATAACCAAACCAATTAATGCACTTCTCCTTTTTATATTTTCTTTGTTTGTTTTTTGAAAATTTATCTAACAAACATCTTCAAAACACATTGTGTTATTATTTTCTTTTCATTTGACTTTCTCACTTTCTGAGTGGGTACCATTTTTTAAAGAAATGAGATGTGATTAAGCAAAGATTTATTTTATCTTTTTGTATCTCTATCATATTTAATATCTTTTAATCATACCGCATTAAATATTTCTTTAGTTAATTTGTGGGCTTTTTCCATTTCATCGAGGCTATTAGTCATTATCTTTAAATCATCAATATACAATATGTGGTTTAACTGGACTTGTTTTTCTTCTCCATTCATTTTAATATTTAATTTGCTTATTTGTTTATCTAAATATTTAGATATTACATTAATAGATAATACGAATAAGAGTTGAGATAAACTATCATTTGTATTATTCCTCTTTCTACATTAATTATACCTACACTTTCTTGATTATAATACAAATTAATTTGTGTATTATTTAATATATATAATATACTATTAATTACTACTAGTGGGATATTAAAATATATTAAGCATTGTTTAATCCATTGGTGGTTAATACTATCATATGCTTTGGAGACGTCATAGTATGTTTCTACCCACTTCCATTTAGCCTTTAATAATAATTGTTGGATTATAGTGTTGTATAATAATCATTCTTTTGATGCATATGTGTATTTCTTACATCCAATTTGATTTAATGATAATTGTTTTTCAATTGGATTTAGCATCAGCTGGCTTTCTATTTTCATCTTTAATATTGATGTATACACTTTTAACAGACAATTTAAACAAGTTATTTGTCTGTAATTCTGTGGGTCTAATTTATCTCCTTTCTTATATATTAATATTGTTCTTCATTGAATAAAATGAGGAGGTATTTCATTATGATTGTTTAACCATTCATTAAATAATTTTAATAAATATTTCATTGGTTGTTCTAAATATTTAATCAAAAATCATTGTATTTTGTCAACTCCCGGTGCCTTCCAGTTAGCAGTAAATTTAATAGCACAATCTAATTAATTTGGAGTGATTATACATATTCTATCATTAGTTCTATTTTCAATTAATATTTCATATAAATTAATATTCAGGAAATCTATAATAGTGTTAGTTTCATAGATTCATTTCAAGAAATTAATAATGGGGATATTATCTGGATATTCATCTTCTTTAGGCTTATTTAGATGTTGTCTTTTTCTATATTTCATCATTTTATAATTCCATCTTATTCTTTTCCAATTATTCTTTCTTGCTTCTATTTCTATTCTTTTCATCTTTCGGAGGTATTTATAATAGTTTATTTGTTTTTTTTTTAAGTGTTTTGAAAGCGTTTTTTTTTTTTTTTTTTTTTTAAGTCATTTTTTTTTCATCGCATCCACGTTTCACCACGTTTGATACACAAAAATGAATGATACAAGTGATCTAAAAAAAGACCTATTCCAAAAATAGACATATTCCAAAAATAGCACACGAGGAATTCCTCGTACCTCGGAATTCCCACAGTCTTTTCTAGTATGAGTTATTTTTGGGCCAAATGCCACGTGTCGCCACGTGTCGTCTGCAGCAATTCTGCGAATTGCTGGACGTACATCTCTTTAGTAAG